TGATGTAGATAAGTTGGCTAAAATGCAAAGTTGTGATATAGCTCAAAGAAACAACGATTTCTCTGAAAAGAGAGAAAAAAGTTTGGAAAATGCAAAAGGGTACAAACTGAAAAAAACAACAGAATGTGTCACTTGAAGAAAGGGAATCCAGACTTCAAAAAGAACGTCAATATATGACAGCTCGCAGAAAGAATGAGTTCCCAGAGCAAAAGGAGAAAAGGTTAGCTAAAAATAGATCTTATAAAAAATTGCAAACTGACAATAAAAGACAAATTAGACTTCAATGGGATAGTGAGTCCAAAAAACGCAAGCAGTCACTAGAAACTGGCAGTGAAAGAGAAATTAGACTTCAGAAAGAAAGGGAGTCCAAAAAAAGAAAGCGTTCAGAGGAAAGTGACAGTCAGAGAGAGTTGCGACTTGAGAAAAACAAACTTTGTCAAAAGCAAAAACGTTCACAGCCTCAATGTGAAATGAACCAACAGGATTATTTAAATATGTTTGATAGCACTCAAAATGGTGGTATTGAAGAACAATATTGGACAAAAGCTAACATTAACAAATTTCACAAGTCTGTGGACTATGTTGTAAGTCAATGTACAGTATGTAAGGAGGCACGGCCTTTGAAATCTAAACCTAGGTCACATTATGTGTGTTCACGATGCTTTACAGATAAAAAATCTCTTTGTGAAAATTCTATGATACCTTCACATGTTCCAAATGAATTAAAAGATTTAACTCAAGTTGAGGAAATGTTAATTGCTCGTGCTTTGCCTATCATGCGAGTTTATATTAAACCAGGTGGTCAACGAGGTTATTCAGGGCATTGTATTAACTTGCCACAAAATGTTACAGAACTTGCAACATCTTTGCCAAGATACCCCAAAGACTTGGCTGTGATTATTGTAAAGGTAAAAGGTAGAGAAAACACATTCAAAGATGTGAGAGTGCGAAAGCAAAAAGTGCATGATGCTTTAATTTGGCTTATCAATAATAACCCATATTATACTAAGTTATTAATTAATCAAGATGCATTAAACTTATTACCTGAGAATGGTGTACCACCAGATCTTATGACTGTGGAGACTGATGATGATATAGTCTCGGATAAAGATTGTTCTCCTGATGTAGGTCCTTCTACTGACAATCCCTCAGAGGACATAGTGTATAATGACTCCACTGAAATGAGTAGTTTTCTACCTGTTGGTGAACAACAACAACAGGAAGTTGAAGCTGTTATAAATCAGCTTACCGAAAATGATCCAATGCAGTGGCCTTCAGTTGAAAATGAGCCTTTAAACGAGTATCAGGTATCACATCTGGCCACAATGGCTTTTCCAACATTTTTTTCTGATGGAAAAGGTGACCCCACCAATCAAGAACTCATGAGGGATGTTCCTCTTCAAGAACGAATAAAGCATCTTTTAAAATTTGCCGAAATTATTGATGGCAAATGGGTATATCGTTTTGCCAGCCATCCTAGATTTTCTTATTGGGATTTTAACATGATTCAAAGAAAGCGAATATTACAGCAAAGTGGAATATTCCTGAAACAAAATCCCGGTGAAGCACATCTCACCATTGATGAACTGCGAGACATGGCTGCCAGTAACAATGCTAATGTATTTATGTCTAAAGTATCTAGATATGTCGGCAATATTGCTGGCACTAATGCTTACTGGAATAGAGTAAGAGAGGAACTCAAGGCAATTGTAACTAGTATTGGAGCAGCAACATTATTTTTCACATTTTCTTCTGCAGATATGCACTGGCCTGAATTACATGCTTTATTCAAAGCTGCTGCTGATAGTGAGATTGGTAATTCTACCAGTGAGGTGATGTAGAAGTTGCCATCAATCACGATCTTTCAAACGTTAATCAGTGGCTCTGTGCAAATAAACTATCTTTAAATCTCGTTAAAACTGAGTACATACTAATTGGATCACGGCATAATATTAATAATATATTGGCTATCCCAAAGGTATTTGTTGGTGACATACCAACTAAAAGGGTAAGAGAAACAAAGGCACTTGGAGTCCATATTGAGGAATTTCTATCATGGGAAAAGCATATTGATAAAATTTCCAAAAAAGTCTCATCCGGAATTGGGGCAATCAGAAAGTTAAAATCATGTGTAGACCGTCGTAATACATTAATTTGTGCCTATAATGCACTTGTTTTGCCTCACCTTGATTATTGTTGCGAAGTTTGGGACACCATTGGTGCCACACTTTCTGATCGCTCCAGAAATTACAAAATAAGGCTGCTAGAGCTATCGTGGGTCGTAAAATGAACATGGTCAATCTGAACTTGCTCTAAATGAATTAAACTGGAAGCCTCTGAGCAAACGCAGAACCCAGTTTGTGGCAAGTCTTATGTATAAAATTACTCATGATCTAGCGCCCTTACGACTTACTGATATTTTTCAAAAGACGTCTTCCTCCTAGCATTATAATTTGCGGGACTCTTCCACTAAACTCCATTTGCCGAAGCCTAAGACTAAATATCTTAAAAAAAGTCTTAGCTATAGAGGGGCTAAACTGTGGAATAGTCTCCCAAATGAATTAAGAGGAAAAGAATCACTAGCTATATTCAATAAAAACGTATGACACCTGGCTACTAATTAGAGTTTTCAAACCCATATTTACCTTGACTATTTAATCTATTAATATTTACTATTATGTATGTATGTATGTACTGTATGTACTATTATCTATTTAATTATGTATGTAATTGTAATAACTGAATGTAAGTAACTGTATTTGTATGTTTAATTTTTCTAAATTTTTAATGTAAATTTGAATTTAATGCTACGCCCCCCTTGGAAATCAGCTTTTCCTGTAGGGGTTAGCGTAGTAAAATAAAGTTTTGCCTACCTACCTACCTACCTACGGCAAAATGTTATTAACAATCCCCATGTCGTAGATTGGTTTTTCATCCAAAGATTAGAAAGCTTTGTAAAACACTGGCTTTATGATACACTTGGTGCGAAATAGCACTGGTTTAGAAATGAATACCAAGGTAGAGGTAGTATCCACTGTCATGGTACTGCTAAACTAAATAATGACCCAGGTTTGTGTCAACTTACCCAGACTGCTTTGAAAGGTTTCTTAGCTCAAAAATTTAAAGATGGAAATGATTGTTCTGACACAACTGAACTAGACCAGGATATTGAAGCTGGTCAGAAAGCAGCTGACACAGTATGTCAGTATGTTGATTGGTTATTATCAACTGTCAATCCCAATCCACCAGATGAGGACATGTGGTAAGACCTGAGGTTCATCCATGTCAAAGAAGTCATGATGACATTCCTGAACATGAAAAACAATCAGATTATGTAGATTTATTAAACATGGTTCAACGACACACTCGTTGTAGTACAAGTTATTGTCTTAGAAAGAAGTCAAACGAAACAGACTTGAAATGTAGATTTCATTTCCCTTTTGATATTTGTCCTAAGACAAAATTAGAATTTGAAAAAATTCATACTTCAGGTGATAATGAACATTATCGAGCTAAGATTGTGACTAAACGAAATGATTCATGGTTAAGAGCGAAAAATAGATTTCGTTCATATTTTGCTCAAATTAAGGTAATACCTAGTTATAAGTGGTGTTTGGGTTAGATTTTCAATATTTGGTCGATAAACGTACAAATATCAGAAATCAAGAATTTGTCTCCAGGAGGCTATAATTAGCCGCAGACAAAGCCGCTGCCATGGTCAGTTTCATCACTTCGCGACGGATTCAAAACTGCCCGTAGATAGTTTTGATGGTATAATGACTATAATTCAAGTATTAAAGAACAATTTTATCAATATGGAATGGCCCAGGAGGCTTTAGCTGGCCTGACAGAATTGCATTTTGTCACTGGATTTGAAGGGGAAATTTACTATGTGCGATAATCGTGAATTTGTTTATATTTCATCCACGGAATGGTATAGCATGAGTACATGTTATATATAAAAACTAGCTTGGGTTATTGCCTTGGAGCCTCACGCGAGACTTTTAAAAAAGCTCATTTTGGTGATTTTCAGTGGAATGTAACACAATTAAATCATTAGGCCCATACGTCTATACCTGAGTCACGAAGCTCAAATTGTTCAAAACTTTGAATTTTGTGTTTCGATATCAATGTATATGCTTTGTATACTTTATAAAGAGTCGTTTAGAAGGATTTTCAATATATTTTAGTGATAGGCCTACTTACAACAAAAGCACAACAAATCATCATATCATTACTATAGACTGTATAACGTTGCTATATATTTATAGCAATTCGCGCGTTGTTACTGAATGCATGTATATTTAATATGTCTGCAGTCTGTAAGCTTTTGAAGTCTTATAATTTCTCATTTTTGTTTAATGCTTTCTCTGCATATGTAAACTAATAGAATTAAAGCTAGGTAAATACAATAAAAGTACATAAGTTGAAAGGTTAATTTACTATGTGCGATAATCGTGATTTTTTTTATATTTCATCCACGGAATGCTATAGCATGGGTACATGTTGTATATAAAAACTGTGTTATTGCCGTGGGGCCTCACGCGAGACTTTTAAAAAAGCTTATTTTGCGGTAGTTCTGCCGACAGTCGGGTAGTCTGTTTCAGACCATGTTACGATATAAAAGACTATAAAATAATATAAAAACAAGTTGACATGCAAAGATGAGTTTAGTTCTTAGATTATTTACAAAGCAAATCTATATACCTTTGAATATATAAATAATTTTAAAATGTTTGTTAGTGGAATCTGGGACATAAAATCAATGCCATGAATGTTGAGCGGTTTATAATGAAAAACTATAGCTGTCAACTGAATAACAACTGTATAAAATTTATAACTGCCTCACTGCTCGTATATATATATATATATAATAGAATATGACTGTCTATAAACAATAAGCAGTGTTATTTTTAAGTTTACGTTTTATATTGATGGGGGGGGGGGCGATTAAGTAAAAACAAAAAGGTAAACTACAATATTGAAACAGTAGCCCGCGTGCAGGCCCAAGGGAGCAGGCTCAAGGGAACTTGATAGTGGGCCTGCAAGCAAGGCCCAGTATTTTGTACTTTCCGCGTTCGCCCACGAACGCGGCATTCTGACTGGCTGTTTGCTGTTGGATTCTATAATTAGGTCAGTGATTTCATCACAAAGGCTCTCGATAAGCTCAAAATTCGAAAATTGATCACCTGTTTCGATTATAAATGGAACAAGAACAGACTGTTTATTGTTTACTAGAAGGAAGAGATGTTTTTGCCATTATGCCAATGGGGATTGCTTGTCGTGAGTTGTTGGAATAGCAACATTACGCCTGGGGTAAACTATAGTAACCTTTACTTGAGTTTCATTAATTTCAAACAGACTTGATACGTTATATGTTCCTCAAGAAAATTATCATTTGGTTGATGTTGACTCTGAAAGAAAACAGCGCTTTTCGCGGTGAAGATTTAAAGGCAGTTGCATGTAAGCCTATTCGAAACACTTTGCGATTTACAAGGCTTCGTTGAGAGAGCGAAAC